AAGTATTCTAGTACCAGCTATATCACTCCTTGTCGTCCTACATGTAAGTATTCTAGTACCAGCTAAATCACTTGTCGTCATACATGTAAGTATTCTAGTACCAGCTATATCGCTCCTTGTCGTCCTACATGTAAGTATTCTAGTACCAGCTATATCGTTCCTTGGCGTCCTACATGTAAGTATTCTAGTACCAGCTAAATCACTTGTCGTCATACACGACATGGAAGTATTCTAGTACCGGCTATATCGCTCCTTGTCGTCCTACATGCAAGTATTCTAGTACCAGCTATATTTCACCTTGTCGTCCTAAATGTAAGTATTCTAGTACCAGCTATATCATTCCTTGCCGTCCTACATGTAAGTATTCTAGTACCAGCCATATCGTTCCTTGTCGTCCTAAATGTAAGTATACTAGTACCAGCTATATCGTTCCTTGTCGTCCTAAATGTAAGTATTCTAGTACCAGCTATATCATTCCTTGCCGTCCTACATGTAAGTATTCTAGTACCAGCTATATCGCTCATTGTCGTCCTACATGTAAGTATTCTAGTACCAGCTTTATCCCTCCTTGTCCTACATGTAAGTATTCTAGTACCAGCTAAATCCCTTGTCGTCATACATGTAAGTATTCTAGTACCAGCTATATCGCTCATTGTCGTCATACATGTAAGTATTCTAGTACCAGCTATATCGCTCATTGTCGTCCTACATGTAAGTATTCTAGTACCAGCTTTATCACTCCTTGTCCTACATGTAAGTATTCTAGTACCAGCTAAATCCCTTGTCGTCATACATGTAAGTATTCTAGTACCAGCTATATCGCTCATTGTCGTCATACATGTAAGTATTCTAGTACCAGCTATATCGCTCATTGTCGTCCTACATGTAAGTATTCTAGTACCAGCTAAATCACTCCTTGTCGTCCTACATGTAAATATTCTAGTACCGGCTATATCGCTCCTTGTCGTCCTGCATGTAAATATTCTAGTACCGGCTATATCGCTCCTTGTCGTTCGACATGGAAGTATTCTAGTACCTGCTATATCGCGCCTTGTCGTTCGACATGGAAGTATTCTAGTACCGGCTATATCGCTCCTTGTCGTCCTACATGTAAGTATTGTAGTACCAGCTATATCACTCCTTGTCGTCCTACGTGTAAGTATTCTAGTACCAGCTAAATCACTTGTCGTCCTACATGTAAGTATTCTAGTACCAGCTTTATCCCTCCTTGTCCTACATGTAAGTATTCTAGTACCAGCTATACCGCTCCTTGTCGTCCTACATGTAAGTATTCTAGTACCAGCTATATTTCACCTTGTCGTCCTACATGTAAGTATTCTAGTACCAGCTATATCATTCCTTGCCGTCCTACATGTAAGTATTCTAGTACCAGCTATATCGTTCCTTGTCGTCCTAAATGTAAGTATACTAGTACCAGCTATATCGTTCCTTGTCGTCCTAAATGTAAGTATTCTAGTACCAGCTTTATCGTTCCTTGTCGTCCTACATGTAAGTATTCTAGTACCAGCTATATCGTTCCTTGTCGTCCTAAATGTAAGTATTCTTGTACCAGCTATATCGTTCCTTGTCGTCCTACATGTAAGTATTCTAGTACCAGCTATATCGTTCCTTGTCGTCCTAAATGTTAGTATACTAGGACCAGCTATATCGTTCCTTGTCGTCCTAAATGTAAGTATTCTAGTACCAGCTATATCGTTCCTTGTCGTCCTAAATGTTAGTATACTAGTACCAGCTATATCGTTCCTTGTCGTCCTAAATGTAAGTATTCTAGAACTACTAGGAAGGTCCCAGATCTCTCCATGGCTTCAGAAGAATTCATGTATAGCTTACAACGCTAAGGTTTTTCCATATCCTTTTAAGTATCATTGTAAAGGGTATTCTTGTACAACTAAGAGGACCCAAAACACTCCTTGGCTTCAGAAGACGGAGATTGCTCCATGGCTTTGTAAATATTTTAGTATAGCTAAAGAGAGGCACTCGTGCCGTTCTATGTCTGTGTAAGTATTCTGGAACAGCGACCTATGAACACATGGTTAGAGAGCGCACTCAGATTATTCTATAGCTTTTGAGGACCCTAGCTTCTAGGCTCGATCTTTTTTTTTTTTTTTTTTTTTTTGGAACAATATCACTAAAATGGTAAAATTTCATAATTTCACAAAGGCATTTTAGAAACAATCTACATCTTCTACAACAATTTGTAATAACATATGATAGATATTGACTTCCTTATATCAGGTAGAAGTGTTTTAGCAGCCTTACTACTATGTATTTCACTTACTGAGATAGCGGTAGTACAAACAAATTGTCAGTTTGCATAGCAATATGGAGAGAAGACACATTCAATAAATAGAAAACAGCAACTGTGACGATCGCATATATAATGTATTGAAACACCAGATGCAAACATGAGTTCTTAAAAGTACATGTATAAACATATCTGCAATAGAAAAAAAAAAGTAACATATATTGCTTCAATGAACAGGCCATAATATCAATCTGAATCAATGTGTATGTCTAACTTGTATAGATAATGATCACTACAAATATGAAATAAAAAGGCGAAGTAAACAAGCACATGTTTTATCATTGAATAAGTCGATATGATTTAATACACGATATAGCTATTACTACACGATAAAGCCATTACAACACGATATAGCCATTACAACACGATATAGCCATTAAAATACGATAAAGCCATTACAACATGATATAGCCATTAAAACACGATATAGACATTACTACACGACACAGCCCTTACTACACGACACAGCCATTACTAAACGATATAGCCATTACTACATGATAAAGTCATATATATGTAGCCATTTCAACACTATGTAGCCATTACAACACGATGTAGCCATTACTACACGATACATCCATTACTACACGAATGAGCTATTCCTTCACGATATAGCCATAACTACACGATATAACCATTACTACACGATATACAAGTCATTACTTCATTATATGCAGGCCATTACTACACGATATGGCCGTTACTACACGTTATAGCCATTACTACAAGATTTAGCCATTATTACACGATATAGCCATTACTACACGATATAACCATTACTACACGATAAATCAATTACAATGTACTACACGATATAGTCATTACTACACAATATCGTCATTACTACACGACATCGCCATTACTACACGATAAAGCAATTACTACACGATATAGCCGTCACTTCACGATATAGACATTACTACACGATATAGCCATCACTGCACGATATATCTATTACTATATGATATAGATATTACTGCATGATATAGCCATTACTACACGATATAGCTATTACTACACGATCTAGCCATCACTACACGACACAGCTATGAATTCACGATATAGTTATTACTACACGATATAGTTATTACTACACGATAAACCATTACAACACGATATAGCCATTACAACACGATATAGCCATTAAAATACGATGTAGCCATTACAACACGATATAGCGATAAAAATACGATAAAGCCATTGCAACATGATATAGCCATTAAAACACGATATAGACATTACTCCACGACACAGCCCTTACAACACGACACAGCCATTACTACACGATATAGCCATTACGACATGATAAAGCCATTTATATGTAGCCATTACAACACGGTGTAGCCATTACTACACGATACAGCCATTACTATACGAAATAGCTATTCCTTCACGATATAGCCATAACTACACGATATAACCATTACTACACGATATACAAGTCATTACTACACAATATGCAGGCCATTACTACACAATTTGGCCGTTACTGCACGTTATTGCCATAACTACAAGATTTAGCCATTATTACACGATATAACCATTACTACACGATATAGTCATTACAACACGATATAGTCATTACTACACGACATAGCCATTACTACAGGATAAATCAATTACTACACGATATAGCCGGTACTTCACGATATAGCCATTACTACACGATATAGCCGTCACTTCATGATATAGACATTACTACACGAAATAGTTATTACTGTAAGATATAGCCATTACAACACAATGCAGCCATTACTGCACGATATATCTGTTACTATAGGACATAGCCATTAATACACGACATAGCTATCACTATATGATATAGCTATTACTGCACGATATAGCCATTACTACACGATATAGCTATTACTACACGATCTAGCCGTTACTTCACGATATAGCTATTACTATACGATATAGCTTTTACTATACGATATAGCCATTACTACACGACATAGCTATTACTATAAAATATAGATATTACTGCACGATATAGCCATTAATACACGACATAGCTATTACTGTACACGATAAAGTCATTACTACACGATAAAGTTATTACTACAAGATATATCCATTACTCTACGATATAGCCATTACAACACAATGCATCCATTACTACACGATATAGCTATTACAACACGATCTAGCCGTTATTTCACGATATTGCTTTTACTATACGATATAGCTATTACTACACGATATAGCCATTACTACACGACATAGCTATTACTATATGATATAGCTATTACTGCACGATATAGCCATTACTACACGATATAGCTATTACAACACGATCTAGCCGTTATTTCACGATATAGCTATTACTATACGATATATTTATTACTATAGGACATAGCAATTACTACAAGACAAAGCTATTACTATACGATATAGCCATTACTACACGATATACAAGACATTACTACACACTATGCAGGCCATTACTACACTATATGGCCATTACTACACGTTATAGCCATTACTACAATATTAAGCCATTATTACACGATATAACCATTACTACACGATATAGTCATTACTACACGATATAGTCAATACTACACGACATAGCCATTACTACACGATATAGCCGCCACTTCACGATATAGACATTACTACACGATATAGTTATTACTGCAAGATATAGCCATTACTACACGATATAGCCATTACTATACGACATAGCTATTACTATATGATATAGCTATTACTGCACGATCTAGCCATTACTACACAATATAGCTATTACAACACGATCTAGCCGTTATTTCACGATTTAGCTATTACTATACGATATAGCTATTACTACACGATATAGTTATTACTATATGATATAGCTATTACTGCACGATATAGCCATTACTACACGATTTAGCTATTACTACTCGATCTAGCCGTTACTTCACGATATAGCTATTACTATACGATATAGCTATTACTACACGATATAGTTATTACTACAAGATATATCCATTACTCTACGATATATTTATTACTATAGGACATAGCCATTACTACAAGACAAAGCTATTACTTTACGATATAGCCATAAATACAGCCATTACTACATGATATAGCCATCACTACACAATATAGTCATAACTTCACCATATAGCCATTACTACACGATGTTGCCATTACTACAAGATAAATCCATTACTACACGACAAAGCGATTACTACACGATATAGTCATTATTACACGATATTACCATTACTATACGATATAGTTATTACTACAAGATATATCCATTACTTTACGATATAGCCATTACTACAAAACAAAACTATTACTATACGATATAGCCATAAATACAGCCATTACTACATGATATAGCCATTACTACACGATGTAACCTTGACTACACGATGTAGCCATTACTTCACGATATTACCATTGCTATACGATAAAGCCATTACTACACGATATAGTCATTACTACACGATATAGTTATTACTAAAAGATATATCCATTACTCTACGATATAGCCATTACTACAAAACAAAGCTATTACTATACGATATAGCCATCATTACACAATATAGTCATTATTACACAATATAGCCATTACTACACGATGTAGCCATGACTACACGATATTGCCATGACTACACGATATAGTTATTACTACACGATAGAGCCATTACTACACAATGTAACCTTGACTACACGATATAGCCATTACTGCACAATATACAGATCATCACTAATTAGCCATTATTTCATGAAATAGCCATTATTACAAGATATAGCCATAACTACACGATATAGCCATTACTACAAGACAAATCCATTGCTACACGATATAGCCACTACTACACGACAAAGCGATTACTACACGATATACAGATCATCACTAATTCGCCATTATTTCATTACTACAAGATATAGCCATTACTGCACGATATACATGTAGCCATACATGCAACTACACGATATAGCCATTACTACACGATATAACCATTACTACACGATATAACCATTACTACACGATGAAGCCTATAATACACGATGAAGCCATTACTACACGATATAACCATTACTACACGAAAGACCCATTGCTACACGATATAGCCATTGCCACACGATATAGTCATTACTACACGATATAGCCATTACTACACGAAAGAGCCATTGCTACACGATATAGCCATTGCCACACGATATAGTCATTTCTACACGATATAGCCATTGCTACACGATATAGCTACAAGTACTTGTATTGACTGCACTTTATAGCAATCACTACATGATATAGCAATTACTGTGCGATAAAGCAATTACTGTGCGATAAGGCTATTTCTGTCTGATATAGCCATTATTACACGATAAATCATCAACTGCACGGTGTAGCCATTACTTCCTGACAAATCCATCAGACATGTATTTGTAAAGTTATATATCATTTAAGCGTGCCAGCAAAAAAATAAATTTTACTTTTTTCAACCTCTGAATATTTAATTGATGTTTTAATAGATCTTTGACAAGTTTCTTTTTATTATTATAGATTTTATTATTACTACATATAACTCTTGTTTTCTTCTTCAACGACATAGATTTAGCAATTGTCGGGCACATCATTTTGAAAGGCATTTTAACAAAAATAGAAAATAAATAACAAGAAAGAAAATGATCATTTTTGAGTAACTCTTTTTTTTTTTTTTGTCTTTTACAGCATGTCAAGGTTGGAATAACCCAGGTATGGGAGGAAGGTAATTTCCCTATCGCCTTACGTGATCAACTCTGTCAAAGTGATCTGATTCCTTGATGCCAGCTTATTATTAAAGTTTAATCTGAATAAATTCTGTGTGCAGGTTATATATATAAGTACAATTAAATATCGGAAGAATGTATTGGTAAAGTACATACGCTGGGAAAAAACGATCGGTCAATTACCGACGACCTTATTGGATCTGATGAGCTTAAGCCTAAAAGTCGTCTGTATCACAAACTCAAGATTCTCTAGGTATAAAATAAATCTCGTTTCTCAACGAAGTCATACATGTATGACAAATTGTACTTAAAGTTACCTTCCCGCTTACCATCGCTGTTTTTACTGATCGGGAGGATAAAACTGTGTTTCCTTACATGGCAAACGTCATTAACTTTCCGTTAACACCACAATCAGGGTGTGAAAGGTCTCAAAGATATAAAACTTTCGTTAATACTAAGTCTTCAATGAATAATAAAGTTGTTTAATCGACCTTAATCAATTAAAATGAAAGCACGTGTATTGTATAAACATTACCTCTGACCCTGTCGAACACGTAGTATTGTGTTAATATAACCTATGACCCAGTCGAACATATAGACGCCATTCGTTGGAATTGCTTATGCATGATAATAACGTAAACATGGTTTTAACCATGCGCGCGATGAGAGAAGTAGCAGTCGAGAAAATGTTATACTTGACACAAATTTAAGTAAATGAAATATTGAATATTTTCATACCGATATACTTTAAACAATTTTTCTTTTCTTTTATGACTTCCTTTTCCTGACAGATTGTGGCACGGTAAATTTAATGCATTAAAATTAATGCAGTCTCTAAATTTCTTACATTACATTGAACAAGTACATGCATAAAAACACAGCTTAATTTACCGCAATTAAGAAAACATAATATATATTTGTATTTATTGAAAATGTACTACTTGTAATACAACTGATTTGATCGATCTATTTAGTGCTGTGTCACCGACAAATTGTTTATGGTACGAGTTATTTCCCTTCGATCAAATTAAATCTTCATCGTCAGCGTTAGAATTGATTGAGAATCCAGGCAACTGTGATTTACATGAAAAGAACGCTTAACTAATTTCGAAACCTTTACACAACAGACTTAGCAAATCAAATAGCCAGTTTTTTTCATGTCCATTTATTGCATTTCACTTTTTGAAAAGATGTAACGCAACAACTTTTTGTTCTAGTCATAAGCATCATTTATAAACCTCTACTTTATTCACCCTACTTAAAAAGATTTCGCTAAATTCAGTTCAGTTCAGTTTTTATTACCTTGAACCTTACGGCTCATCAGTTCAAAATAAACATTTATACAAGGATAAACAATACAATCACTATCACCCATATACATACCCACAAATACACACACACATAACCATTGGTATATAGTGCAGAGAGACATCCCTCTTTATATAGGTACATTGTGTATAGTCGTTTCTTTTCTTATTACTCAGTTTAATATATTTGGCTAAATTTGTTACACATGTAACTGTTTTCTGTTCCCTGTTTCCATAAGTTGGATAAATGTATACATGCTAGGTCTTTCATAGTAATATTTCTTAATAAAACGCTTTCTTAAATCTAAATAACATTCACATTTTAATATAAAATGAAATTCATCTTCGATATCCCCACTGTTGCAGTATACACAAATGTTCTTTCAATCCTATCTACATTGTTATACCTACCAATTTCAATATTTAATTTGTAAGATGACAGCCTAATTTTTATAATTTCTTTAAGATTTGTATTTCCTATGGGTTTTGTTAAATATGGTTGTAAACAGAAATTTTCGCCAATAAACTTGTACAGTGAACACTTAGAAGATGATTTTTTTTTTCTTTACATTTTTGCTTAAATATATCACACATTCTGCTTTTAATAATATTCATAATATTATCGGATGTATAGGTATCTCCATATTGCCATATGTACCCTACCCCCATTCTAAATAGTTCGTTTCGTACTCCATTCATCCATTCACTACCATTTTCTAACATTTCTTGATAACATGCATGTAGAACACAATTGTCAGTTTGTTTCAATTTTAACCAGTATTTAAAAATTCTAAATTTCTTAATTATTTCCAAAGGCAATCTTTCTAATTCTTGGTGAACCATAAAATTTGCAGTAGATTTCTTAACCCCTAATAATTTTTTACAATAACTTAAATATATTTTCTCTATATCTGGTGCTTTATGAAAGCCCCAAACTTCCGCTCCATAATTAAAAATACTACAGACGTATGTATCGAAAACATGAAGCTGAGTTTCAACGTTAAAATAATTTTTCTTATACGCTTTGATATTGAAACCAATGCTTTTCTTCATTGTTCAGCGATTTTTTGTTGAGGTTTTTTGAATTTACCATTAAAATTCATTAATATACCCAGGTAATTAAATTCATCTACAATATCTAAAACACCTCCATCAAAGTACCACTTATCTTTTTTCTCTTAATTTAACTCCGTTACGGTAAACCATCACCTTGGTTTTAGAAGTATTAACCGTAAGATTCCATTTATTTGTATAAAGTAATAATGTATCTAACATTTTCTGCAATCCCTCAAAAGTTTCGGGCAATAACACCATATCGTCTGCATACATCATTAAAAATATATTAATAGTTTGTAGCTCTATAGAAGGACACCCTTCTGTTAAAAAAATCATTTCGCAACCATTCACACACAAAAAGAACAATAGAGGAGACATAATTTCCCCTTGAAATAATCCATTTTTACATTGAAACAAATCTGACATGTTTTTGTTATACTTTACACAACATTTTACATCTCTGTACAAAGAACGTATAATATTCAACATCTTTCCTTCTTTACCTTCTTTGATAAGTTTGTACCACAAATTCTGTCTAGTAACGAAGTCAAAAGCTTTTTTGTAATCAATAAAACAGCAATACAGTCTATTTCTATTTTTCACGGTTTTACTTATTAATGTGTGTAATACAAATATAGCGTCAATAGTTGATAAATTCTTCCTAAAACCAAACTGAGCATCACTTAATTTAGAATAGTCACTATCGAAATTACAGCAAGACGCTCATTAAGAATTGATGTAAAAAAATTCCCTAAACAACTTACTAAAGTAATTATTGGTATCGTTCTTGTCTCCTTTCTTAAAAATAGGAATTATATTACCTACCCACTATGATAAAAATCCAGATTTAAAAACATTGTTGAACAGTTCCACAGGGCATTGCATAAGTACATCTTTACCCTTAATAAAATACTCATTTATCAGTAGATCTGGCCCACACGCCTTCGAGTTTATTTTATGATTTATTGATGGCTTTGAGCGCTTCACTTTCAGATATCTGATCATCTAATTCTTGAAACATAGTATTTGGTATATTAACATCATAATCATTTAAAACTTATTAACCATTTCATTTCTCAACAGGTTCCGTTGAAGACAATTCGCTAAAATACTTAAAAAATCTTGTTCACTAAGATCCCCCTTATCGTTATTTTTTCTTTTCTTGAATCTACTATAGAAAGCCTTAGGGTTACTTTTTCGCAAGTAATCCATCATATTACCTTGTTGACCTATATATTCACGCTTTAATCTAGTTTCCAGTTTTTTATAGTTACGCTTTTTAGATATAAAAATGTTCTTATTTTCCTCTGACTTAAGTGAATTAAAAGTAAATAATGCGTTTTTGTATTGAATATATCTGTTTTTACAAACTTCGTTAAACCATAGTTTATCCTCCACTCGAACTTTTTTTTTTACTTTTCTAGAGGTGTATTTAGAAACATTTAAAGGCATTAATAATTCATTTGATATATTAGTAAACTTATTCACACACTCATCTATACATTTTTGATTATCCTCAATATTATTACAGGCATTAAATAACTCTCTACGGTTTTCCTCTAGTAAATGCAATGCTCTCTCTGCATGATCCTCACTCTATTAAACATTTGTAGATATATTATCTTTATCATTATAATCAGGTACAACTACATTTTGTTCAAATGAATCTACAGTCAAACATTAAATATTCCACTCTCAAAGTGAGTAATATTCTTTAAAAAACCATCAACAGCCAATACATAATCTATTAGACTGGATCTCCTACTATTCAAAAAAGTTATGCTACCATTAGGATCATCTTTATGTCGTCCATTTACAATTCTCAAGGAAGTAGATTTACACAGTGAAAGAAGATGTCTTCCAAATTGGTTAATATGCAGGTCAGAATTGGAACGTTTGGATGGTACAGAATCATTAACATAATTTACAATACATGTATTTGAAATAACATGCGCAGGCCCTTGATTAACAATATCATAACTTATATAATCGTCGTAAGTACCCGTTCTACTATTGAAATCTCCTAGTACAATCACTTTACCTAATCCTTTATATTCACACACCATTTCCTCAAGGCAAAAATATCAATTTCACATTTGTAATAAAAAACATTATTTACAGGTGGGAAATAACAAGCAAATGCATATATATCACTGACATTTATTTCTAATGTTATTGGATATTTTTAACAATACAATGTTTAAATTAATGTTATCTATAACCCTACAATAATCTCAGATAGTTGATTTAATAAAAATTACAATTCCACCGCCTTTACCATGCATTCTTGGAAACACACAGCTGTCATAACCTTCCAATTCCTCTTCATCCTCTTTCTCAACCCACGTTTCATACAAACATTCACAGCATTGCCCTGACTTTGCAATCCAAGGACTCTATATCAAAACATCACCGTAGACTACCTCCTTCGGAAATTTCCGTAAAAGCCTTACAGAAATTACCAAACCAGTCCGGTGTGAGATTGACGAAGTGTATACTGTCGACCTGATTCCAACCAGTTGTTTTCGATCTTGAGAAAACAGAACAGACAATATTAAAGACTATTTTGTTGATATTAATTCAATTAAAGATGGTAGGTTTCTAAGAGTAACAATACAAATTGATGAAAAACATATTAATATATTTATGATATATGTCCCAAATACTAGTCGGGATTTTTTGATATGTTAGCAAAAGACTTGCAAAACCATAAATCA